GTTTTCTGCTCCACTTACATACTACGGTCTGCCTGGAGTTATTCAGCACTACATTCCTGCAGCTTCCCCTCCACAGTGCCCCAAGCAGTACTCACTGTCAATGCCAGGGCCTAATTAGGACACAGAATCTCTGTGCAGATCCCCATGTCTAGGTTATCCTCAACCATTCAGTAAATTCTTGTAGCAAGAAAATAACGCTATATCATTGTCCACTATTAGATTTATGTGGGTAAAAGCTTAGACATTATGGGATATGGTCAAGAGTGCTATCATGTTTTTCCTTTGTATCCTTCATTCTTTCAACAGGATGTGAACTGAATCTCTCTATGTGTCTGAGTAGCTGGTCAAACTGAATGAACAATGAAAAATGCATGTTATTGAATTATTGATCATGCGTGGTGTAGAAAATTATGGCCTGCATTGATGACATCCTCAGCCACTTTCTGCTCTCTTGTGATACTGTTTATTTTAGTCAATATGTCAAACCTTGCACTTAGTAACAAAACGTTTTAGCCCTTAAAAAATAAATTTGAAAATTTTGAGAAATATGTTTGAAATTTTGTATTAAGCAGAATAAAGGAGTCGTGCAGCCAAAAATATGCCTATCAAAGTATTTCTACAATGGCATCGGAAAACTTTTGCATCCACGCCAGTAGATGTCAGTATAAAATCTAAGACCTCGGTTGTATTGGCCAGCAAACAGCTGAATTTAGATCTCTCTACAATCCTTTTATTAATAGTATATAAATACAGAGCATGCATCTTTAAAATCTTTTGGGTTTTTTTGGACAGAATTCACAAAAATAGAACAAAATAGAATACAATAAAAATAGCTTTATCTTTTCTGGACGATGCTGTTTTCTGCATTGTACTTGCAAAGACACACTCAAGTGTACTTGAGGAAGACATTTTCTTGGCATGAACAAACATCAAACAGATATCTTAAGCATACAAAATGTCCAAAATGGGTTGTGTTGCCTGATAATCTCATCAAAACCCATGGACACAAAACCTTGCGTTTTGCATACCACTTCATGTCAGTTTAATGCATTTAAACATGGTGCATAAATAATGAGGTTTATTTAAACCACAGTAAAAAATAAATTAAAATCATAAAACCCACTATGCACACATACGTCTGTTAAGAAGTGTACCATTTAAAAGCAAATTCAAAATGATTTTCATCCTTTTTTAAAGATGAAAATACATATCTGTGGTCTCAACACATTTCCAATACAATAAAAGCACATATTACAGTTTAATCTTTGAAATCACTCCCTAAATAATCACACATATTGCAGTGACTCAGAATTCCTATTTGGTTGAGACCCCAACAGTGAGATTCAAATTTAAGCTATTCTTGAATTTCACAGCATCCTATATGGACACTGGGTAATAACACTCCTGCTGCTGTGACAAAACGTTTCTTATCTCCCTTCTTCATTACTTCATTAATAACCTGCCAGCCTAAAAGTTATTTCAGGCTGAGATGCGTTCACCTCCATGTGTTTGTCTTGGTCTCCAAGATCATAGTCTTTGCTGTAAAAGCTTAATAAGGCAAGGCTGGACATGTCCCATTCATCAATGTACCCAATAACTGATTTGACATGATGGTAGTATAACAGCATGCAGCCTACGAAACTGCTGTATCTTCATCTATACAGTAATAATCATCAGGGTTCCTCTATATCTTCTTTAATTCAGTTAATCAGCGCTCAGATGCTGTGCTCTCAACTCTCAACCCTAAAATTCAATCTAGTGGTTAAAGGGATAGTTCAAACAAAAATGACAATTTTGTCAACATTTACCTACCGTCATGTTGTTTCAAACCTGTATGACTTACTTTATTCTGTGGAGCACAAAAGAAGTGATTTTGAAAAGTGTTGGAAACTAAACAGTTTCCGTTCCCATTGGCCCCCATATGGATAAAAAATACAATGGAAAACAATGGGAATGGAAACTGTCTGGTTACCACCATTCTTCAAAATCTCTTCTTTTGTATTCAACAGAGGAAAGAATGATATAATTTTCATTTTGCGTGGACTATGCCTGGATTATGGAAAACCACCTTTAGTTTCTGCCAGCATATAATTGTTGCAGTATTACAAAATGTCCTTGATTGTCCTGCTGCTCTGTGTTTGCATTGGCAATAACGTCTCATTTTGAAGAGATACTAATAAAATATAAATAATAATAGTTTAATTGTTTAGTTTCTATCTTGCAGTGTTAATTAATTAACACAAATATGTCTTACTGTGAAGCTTTCAGGGACATGGATCAATTGTTGAACAGACAGTGATCAATTAATTCATGCATAATGTGACGAAGAATGAACAAAATCTCTGGAAGTTTCCATGTGCCATATGCTGCCTGATGAAAAGATGAAGCTCTGAGAAAGATGAGACAAGATGCAGAATACAGGCATCATCATAATAGACTGTAATTTAAAATTGGCATTAATAATATCCAACAGCTTCGTTAAATTTGAACAACTCATGAAAAACTGCTTTCATGAAAAGCAACATTTTTAGGATTCTAACCAGACCAATAGACCTTAGTCAGGGTGGCACCATATTTAATTTTTGACATGAATGAAAATGAGGCTGTGAGGGATAGAAGTACAGTGCGTTCAGTGGATTGTACTGAATGTTCAGCTGACAAAATGTCTTTCCGAAAAACAAAAAAAACAATAAAACTCCATAAAACAATTTTAACCGTTTTTAATCCAGATTCATTTTCATACATGTTATATTCAATATGATGTCTAACCTGACTAAGGTCTATACCAAATGGGAATGCAGGGATTTATTTACATAGATTACATTTGTGTGAAAGTGCAAATTCAGCACGGTAATTTGAACTGAAATTCATTGTAGATGATGCCTTGTCATTATTGATTAAGACACTGCAGCTGCTGCATTTTAAGACAGAACAATATCCAAATCAGTGGGGCCTGATTTAATCCAGGGAATGTCTTTTTTATTTTTTTGAGGGACAGTTAGCACCCTCTCTCCGGTACAGGCGGACTCAATGTAGAGCACGTCCCACTCATCCATAAGAACTAGGCCTGCACTTAAAGGAGGGCACCATTTTATTTTGGACCCGGACATGAGATTAATTATTCTATTCAAAATATTTCCAGTGGTTAATCAGATACAGCAGTCACTCTTTCTGGAAGATTTTGCAGCTGATCACTTTGCTTTAGTTTTAGCCTTTAATGCCCTGGTGGTTAAATTCTAGGAAACTACAACAACATAGCAGCATCATACTGCAACACTGGTTTGCCAAAAAATTTGAAAAGGTCATTAAAAGCTAATTAAACGAGGTCTATAACCTCATTCCGCCACCATGATATCAAATAATTGTTGAAAATTAATCAAAGATTCTGAGTCTCAGTGGACCCGTGGCTGAGTTAATGTTTAAACAGTGCTTTAAGTTATATCACGAATAAACACGTCACCTGCATGCTTCAGTACACTGCCAGTGCTGTGAGAGTCAGCTGAGATGAAGCATTTATCCTTAAGCAAACACATAAGAGTTGAGGTCAAAGGTGTGGAATGTACAGCTGTACACTTTAAACTGCTCAAGTCAACTTGATTAAGTTTTCCAGCCTCGTAAACAAGCTCACTCTAAAAAAAAAAGAACGAAAATATGCATGTAAAATGTACACATAAGCTGAATTATTCAATTACGTTACCTAATATTTTAGTTATAGAGGATGACGGGGCTAGTTGTCACTAGGCCTGTCGCAATAATCGATATATCGACTTATCGCGCAATGTATGTACATGACCGCAATAATTTTTGGTGACGCAATATATCGCCCATTATATTTACTTAAAAATGAATGTCACCATGTTTTGTACATTCCACTTGTGCTTGTGTCTTTTGCAGCGTCTTGTACATAACGTGGTGTAGTCATGAGGTGCTAGTTCAAAGTTACTTGTTACTTTGCACTTTTTGTTAGAAAATGTTTATTTACTATTTATTCAGGTTCTTTAAGGTATCTAATATTTTGATACTTAATTCCCATGATTTAAATATTCTTAAAAATTAAAAGTTTGTTGTCATTTGGTAGTGTGTAGGCCTTCTTGCATTATTATGCTGTTAATGAATGATTATATATTCAGTGGCATAAAATTATCTTTAAAATGACAATAATATCGCTTATTGCAATTATTTCTGGGGCAATATATCGCACAACAAAAAGTTGTTATCGTGACAGGCCTAGTTGTCACACTTTTTTATTTATTTTATTTTATTTTTAGTTATGACACAGCAAATATTTAAAAGGTAATATACAAAAACATAATATTTATATATATTTGGCCAACTTAAATTGAATTGAATAAGTTAAAACATTGTAGACACGACATCTTCACTTGACTTGACATTTATCAAAAAAAAAAAAAATACCCTTGTCTTTCAAAAAATAAAATGAACAACAAAACTTTAGTCACTAAACATTACTACATATCCAACTTAATGGTAAGAAATTGATTCCAAGATAAAGTATACTACAAAAAAAAAAAAAATTAAAGATTTTACAAGAAATTTCTGACTCATTGTGAACAAATAATTACATTCCCATATAGAGTTCAAAATTAAACTTTACTTTATCTTTCAAAGTTAAACGTATTTTTATGCAGATTTTATGCAAACTATAAACTTTGTAGACTGGAAAATATATTTCTGTAATATATATTGTATAATATTTGACCGTCCTTGTTACTGTGCATTTTCCTTCGATTTGAAAAACTATTTGACAGCGAATCATGGCTCTCCTTTCAGACAAGGGTCTCACTTCAATGGCAGGTGCTAATTGGATGGCATGTCTCGCGTAATAGCTCTGTGTAAGTGGGGCCCCTCGCTCTCCATTTCGGCTCAAAGCCTCCGTAGACTCTCGCTATCTTTTACAGTATCGTGTAGCCGTAATGGCGCTAGCTTCCACATGCAACAAGGGCCTGTTTATTATGGCTGGAGCTCCGTCTCTTCCTCTCGCTCGCTGATTGGCTGTACTACTTCAGAAGCGAAACGCGATTGGTTTAGAGACCTGTCAATCGGACTAGCAATAGACGGGTACCCAAGACGGCAGGGTTGCGCGTGTGCCTTCCCAGGTCCTGGCAGCACCATCCGGCGAGGAGGCGAGGACGCTGGACGCCTGTTTTATGACTGCAAGGAACACTGGATGTTTTTATTTTGAATTCTTCTTCACTGGATATACATGCCCACGATTTTGAGCGCGAGAAAGCGACACGCCGGAGAACGAGCACGTCGTTATTGATGGGGGAAATAAGTTGAAGGCTTCGGAAGAATGTTTTCCTTGTTCCAGGAAAACGGATTGCTCTGCTGAGCAGCGTGATGGGTGTTTCGAGGGGATTTTGACATTTGGAGAGGATCTGGGGCTATCCATCTACAGCTTCGGGCTGGAGCGCAAATGAAAACGGCAACAGAGCGCCATACTGCAAAACAAGCTTCCCGGATCGATACAGTGTAGCAGTCTTTTCGCACGGGAGAATTGCGCGTTTTAATGTAAATGTAAACAAGCTGGCGAGCAAGTACCAAATCAGCAACGGTGGCCTGATCCACGTAACTTCTGCAAACTGCATGCAGCCCTGGCGGTGGAAACAGGGCTGGATGAGCCCAAAATGGCAAATATGAAGAAATCTAAAAGATGAATGTTGCATTTCCGCCGTAACTTGTACTATTCACCTAATTTCCATTTCCATACAAGCCCGAATTTCGAGCGAAGCAAGGTGCTCCTCATGCCTCCAACATGAGGGAGATTTAAGGCCGTGCGGAATTGATTTATTATGGGGGGAGCGCATTATTTTGATTTGATCCCTCTCTCCTTTTTTACCTTTCTTTTGTTTACCCTCCGCGAGAGGTTTCTTGGATGTCCGAGATTGTCATTTTGCTAGTCTGGAACGTATAACGCGAAAGATCCTCCGAAGTAGGTCAGATCAAAGCTGGAGAGTTGTTAGTATGACACCTTTTCACACTCATCTTGATGTATGGCGGACATTTATGCTTTGATTTGACCCGTCGTTTGGCTCCATGACAGCCAAATGAGAGTTTGACATCTTGGCAGCCTGCCTCTCCATCTCGTTCGCCTCTTTGTTTTGTTTTTCCACCTCTCATTTCGGGCTGTTGAGTGAGTGAATGGCTCTGTGCGGAGCGGCCGCTGCAGCCCCAGCGCAAGTTCAAGCCGCCGCCGCGGCCGCTGTGAAGGCGCATCATCACCACCAACACTCGCATCACTTACAACAACAGCTGGATATAGAGCCGGACAGACCGATCGGATACGGAGCTTTCGGTGTGGTTTGGTAAGCGTTTAAATACCATTCTAACAACTTCTGCAAGTGAATGTTGGAAATGAGCACGCGACTTTGAATTTGACTCTAAAAGTGAACGCAGTAATTTTTATGTAAATTGAAAAGTTTTACAAATAAAGACACTTTTGGGAAGCATCATTAAAATGATGTACACTCTCATGAGAGGAAGTCTCAGAATTTTCTAGACAAAAAAAGCTGTTATTCCACACAGAGCTGGTCTCCCCCTCATGGGTGCCGCCATGTTAATGTCACATGACCAACTGTGGCATGCAGTTGACTACCACAGATAACGACAATATTAATGTTTACTCAACCTCGTGTCTCGAAAAAAATAACTATTTTACAAGATCGCGTTTTGAGCCACGTGGTTCATACGCAAACTTGTAGGTTTCTAGAAGAAAAAAACAACACAAAACATAAGCATGATAATCCACCCCAACCCCACCTCTGATTATGTAAAAATGTACAAATTAGTTTATATGAATTAAACATAAAATAGTTACGAATTGCCATGAGAGTGTTGGTTTACTTTAAAAAGTGCTTTAATAGAATAAACATTAAAGTACCAACAGCAAAGAACTGATGGCATGGATCAACGTGTTTACGATCCGTCAAACAGAATAAGTGGACAAATAGCGTATAAACAGACAGTTGCCCATTGCAACAAGGAAGAACAAGCTAAACCTAAACCAAAACTTGAGTGCACCTTTAGGAGGTTTCACCTGTCAGGCTTGTTGGGAAGGAGAGGTACTGTATTTTTAGATTTCTATGTGACAGTTCAAGGGGAATGAGGAACAGCTTTTGGCAAAGAATTTAAGATGTACACTAAGGGAACATCGTTGTGCTTAAGGGATAAGCCTAAAATAACTTCATTTAATACTTAAATGCTCAAGATTTAGTTCATGTCAGTTTGAGTGTCTTGAGAATAGTTCCTAACCCAGGTGTTACCAATAGATACTGAACATTTGGTTGAGTGTGTGGTTGAATCTTATATATTTATATATAATGCAGTTGCATTGTCAAATGCTTAGTGAATAACTTTGATATATCCGGTTGGTTGCTTATTAAAACGTTTCTTTCAGCTGCAACAAAACCAGTTCACAAGGATACATCTCCAGTGGTGTACAATTCAGACCAAAGATGAAAAGTTGAGTAAAATGGGTAATGCTTGAAGGAAGGAGAGAGTGCATGTTCTCAGAATGAGTTTGTAACTCAGAGGAAATGCAATATCCTTTTAAGCACACACCCTCCTGTCTTGGCTTCTGTTCAGAGGTTAATTTCTTGGGAGAGCAATGTATTAGACGCAATAGACTTAGCAATAAATTAACTAAATGAAATGGACAGTTTTCATTCTCTGACATGTTAGTTCTGTTAGTACTTATTCTAGCATATATGTAGGCTCTGTGTGTGTTTATGCACAAAGGAATCACCTGTAACTGGTGTCTACAGAGGGGCCACAAAACTAGGGGAGCTTTCACCAACAGCCACCCTGCCTACCTCCACCCATGTAATCTTAGCCTGACCTTTCCTCGAAATCGCTTCCTGTTGCTCATTGTCTGCTTTTAATCTGCACTGTTACCTGCTGGTATATTTATAGCTGTCCTCCAGAGGCACGACCATAGAGGAATAATCATATAGGGTTTATACCGTCTGAAAGGGGGATGAGCAGAACCATGGTTAATTAAAGAGAGTTCACCAAAAAATTACAATTCTGGTTTCATGTTTACTGTACCTCATATTGATCCAAACCTGTATGACTTTCTTTCTTCTTTGGAATACAAAACAAGATATTTGGACAAAATGTGCTGGCTGCTCTTTTCCATCTTATTGCAATGAATGGGGACTGGAGCTGTCATGCTTCAGAAAATACTCAAAAGCATGACTTTCAGTGCATAATGGCTTAAATTTCAGTATGTGTCACACAAAGTTATTGTTTGGTTTGAGAATACTTAAAATAAAGTCATATGGTCATATTTATACTTTATGGTTTTTTGCACACTTTTTGGAACAGCAACATGTAGTATCGGTCGAAACATTTCAATATTGATAACGATACCTTGACTTTGATACCGGTTCCTGAACAATACTTTTTTCGATACCAATTGTATAAAATCCATTTTAACAAGATTAGATTACACATTACCTCAAAAAAAACTTTGGTTTTATTTTTTCAGCTTGTTGATGTGTTGACAAGTGTTTTTTGCTAGTTTCAGCCCGACGCAGTTATCATTTTCACATCCTGCGCCACGTTTTTTAAATAGCAAATGCATTTGCGCCCATGGGCGTGCTGGTCTGAAAAGAGGTGTGTTCAGGCGCATTGTTGGCGCTTTGCTATTTTGAGGCAACTGAAATAGACTGCACCTTTGACCAACTGAAACCTGGCTTAAAGTCAATGGCGCAATATTTTTTTTGTTAATTAAAGATTAATCATAATCTGCGTCATAATCTGAAAACCATGCCCACCGGGTGGTGGGGGGATTGGTCTATGTCAGTGCCCCTTTTCCTAACCTTCCTTTTGTTTGATAAATGATCCAACTGAACGGACCAACGTGAAATACCCCGACATCTACAACTGTTTGTGTCCTAAACGCTCGTTTTTTGGGGGGTCGACAGCTTATAAAAATGTAGTTCTGTTTTTTTTTTTAGCTTGTTTACTATACACCTTGTCACATAGCATCTTTTAGGCATTGCTCTGTTTTTTGTTATAAGTCAGAAATGACAAGGAGGCAGTTTTCCGCAATAGAAAGGCAATGGAGAGCGTTGGATTGTTTTCTATGGGTCTAGCTTCCGGTCTCATCCACGTCCAGCTATTTTTAGCTGTACAAAACAGTTAGTTTTTTCTGCTTGATATTGAAAATTGGTGTGTCTTATCATATTATTTTAATGTATTATCTTAATTATGAACACACTGGTTTGTAGTGCAAACATTTTTACAGTTTACTGCACGTTGTTATTCTTCTCGTTATTTACCTATAGCAGCTAATGAACCGGAAGTCTCGCCAATAGGCTTACTTCCGCGTTGAAGAAAACGGTGGATAGGCGGGTGAACAACGTGCGTACACTCTGCTTATTACACACACAGGGATGCGCAGCAGTGCACAGACATGCCAAATATTAAAAATGAAAGGATTACAATGTAAAAGATTACTATTGTGCCCCGTAGATGGTCTGCTCGCACGCTTTAACCTCGCGCACGAGCAGAACTTTTCCTCTCCGGAGAAGCGTTCAGTCTTTGCTCTTGCAAATTCCGCCATTCCGGACGTTCGAATAGTATATTTCAGTAACATTATATGGCCAAAACACACATTAGATCGCGATCGTAAGTTATTACAAACACTAGATGGTGGTAAACTAGTAGGTGTGTTCGACGTGACATTGCGCTGCACAGACCGATTGGTGTATGACATCAAAGTACCGCGAGAAATATAGAGAGCAGACTGCTCTGTATGCTTTTGAATCTCTCTCGCGGTGCTTTGATGTCAAACACCGATCGATCTAAGCAGCACCGCTTCAAGTCGAACACACCTAGTTTTTCCTTGATGCCTCACCAGCACTTGATTTAGGCACATTAAGCATGCTGCATGCTTATTGGCTCACTGAGGTTGACGTGATTAACCCCTTAGGTATCGAAATTTGATACTGAACGACAAGACATTTTTCATTACTCGATGGCATCGAGGCAATTCAGTCGGTGCCTAAAAAGTATTGAACTTGATACCCAGGTCTAGCAACCAGTATTCTTTAAAGGGGTCATATGATGTTGCTAAAAAGAACATTATTTTGTGTATTTGGTGTAATGAAATGTGTTTATGCGGTTTAAGGTTAAAAAAACACATTATTTTCCACATACTGTACATTATTGTTTCTCCTCTATGCCCCGCCTTTCTGAAACGCGTCGATTTTTACAAAGCTCATCAGCCTGAAAAGCGAGGTGTGCTCTGATTAGCTAGCTATCCAGTGCGTTGTGATTGGCCGAATACCTCAAGCGTGTGACGGAAATGTTACACCCCTTGCCATATTGTGATGCCTTGTCCCGGCCGGAGCGACGAGACAAAAACATTAAAACCCATTATAAACGAGGCATTTGTTGCATCCAGTGGGGACATAATTATGGATTATAATGACTTATACTGTCTTTTTACACGTTGCATTGCATCGTGCCGCGTAAACATAAAACCATGTCTGCATTTGTGATCGGAGAAATTACAAACTACAAACGCTACTCTACACTGGACTCCGCTTCGTCCACGGTGAAAGCCGATCAGGCGATCCAAAGCGCGAAGTTGATATATTTCTTCAGCGACCAGCACGGATCAGCTAGACGAAGCGGATATCGTCTTCTTTTGGAAGGCCAAACAAAGTAGTTTTGCTTTCACAACGAAACACACAGCGCCTTCACGACATGGCGGCGGTGGCGGCAACGGCAACAACAATACTACAGTGAGAATAAAAGTTACGCCTTCTTTCTTTGCGTGAACATTTGGGCGGCGTTATGCAAATCTTCCCACAGAGCGACGTAGGTATGTTGGGGCGTGTTAGAACGAGCCGTTTTAGGTAGGTGTGGTTGACTCTTAACTTTTATAAAGAATATCTCTTTGGATTTGAGACTAGTCTTTGCAACTTTACAGATCTTCTTGTAACACTCCAAAGAGAAAGGAAAAATTTAAATCGCATCATATGACCCCTTTAAACTATCTCCTTCTGTGAAGAAAAATACTCAAGTTTAAGTAAATAATTACAGAAAATGTATGCTTGGTTGAACTATTTCTTTAAATATTTGTAGTATATCTATACATCACAGGAAGTGAAGAGGAGGAAATGTACCCACCTATCATTGCACATAACCCAAGTACTTCAAAGAAGTTGAACTAAAATAAACACAGTAAACATAACATAAGGCTCCAACATTATTATTGAGTTTTAGTCTCAGGTGTGGTTTGTATTTGTACACTGTTGTTCGCGGGATGTGTCAGTTACAATGCAACGATTAT